AGTGGGACTTGGACCTAGCTCTCTACAGAACCAGAGGGCTGAACCAAAGAACCATGTTCCTTAGAGAGAGCAGCTGCTGCATGCTGGGCCCTGTATTCTGTTCCATAGGGCAATAAAGGTCAAGTGGAAATGGACAGTTCTTCCAGGACAACTGATGGCCATCTGGGACCCTCTCTTCAGAAGGAATACTTCAGGCCCAAAGCCTCTGCACTCCACTTTAAGAACCCCTGGAGCAGGAGGGGAGCTGGAGAGGGGCTGAGCTAGGCGGTGAAGAGTCCTCCTTGTAGGCTGAGCTCAGGGTACTTGGGAGCCACTGAAGGCTCTAGGCAGGGGAAGTGACATGACTGTAGGCCAGGAGCGAGCAAACCTGGAGATGGGGCTCTATCGGGAGGCTGCTGGGATCTTCCAGGCAAAACATGAGGCTGGGGTGAGAGGGCAGGTGCTGGAGGTGAAGCGGTGCCGGATGTCCTGCTTCCTTTCCCGCCAGCTGGGAAATGTCACCTTTGGGTACAGCTTGCCCTGCTCCCAGAGGAGGAAGCTGTGGTGGAGCATGGCAGAGCCACCCACCAGACATAGGCGGCTCAACTCCAGACATACACAAAAGAGAAATATTTAACTTACTGAGTTTTGGGGTCTTTCTGCTACAGCAGCTTGGCCTGTACCAGAACTCACTGTGCGACCTCAGGCAAAGCACTTTACTTCTCTGAGCCTCAGTTTCCACATTTGTAAAACAGGGGCAATAATAGAACCCACTAGGATTCAGAAGTGGTGTGTGTAGAACACGGAGGAGCCGTGCAGTTAGTGCCCCTTCTCCCCACACAAGCCCCTGGCCGGCCCCTAACTCCCGTTTAGCCCAGTGGCAAGACTTTTATTTTCTCTTCCTCCTTCTGACTCCCTTGGTGGCACAGGCTTAGGGCAGTGGACACAACAGACGTTAGACGCAGGGTCTGGATGACTTTCAGACAGGGGCGATCCCTCTCCTGAATTTTACAGATTAGGAAACTGAGGTCCAGAGAGGGGCAGGAATTTGCCCCAGCTCCACAGCAACTCGGGCAGAGTGGTGCTGGATCCAGTCCTTCGTGGGCACCGGGGTGGGGAGTTGATTTCCGAAATAGGTGTCGGGGGCACCTTTTCCCACCACTCTCCCCTGGCTCACTGGCTCAGTGGCGTCACTCTCCCACACTAGCCTCCTTATGGTTCCTCACAACTACCTCAGGGCCTTTGCACATGCTGTTCCCTCCAGTGGGCCTACTCTTCCCCCAGCTCCTCACCTGGCTGCCTCTTTCTCACCTTTAGTCCTCAATTTAAGTGTCCCTCTCCAGAGAGTCCTTCCCTGATCACCCTGCCTCTGGAATCTTTTATCTGTAACTCTTGTTTATTTTCTTCACTTACAATATATTAATTAGTTAATTTAGTTAAATAAAAAAAGTTTTTTAAATTTTATTTTGGCGGGTCTCTCCCTCTAGCCTGTTAAGCTCTATGATTTTGGGACTGTGGCCATCTCTCTGTCTCGTTTGCTGCTCCCTCCCCATCACCGAGGCAGGCCTTGGCCCAGGCAGGTCCTCAGTACGTCCCCGCCATGTGAAAGAATGAATACGTGTACGAACGAATAAATACATGAGTGAATGTGCCAGGCCTGGATGTCCACCACTGCACTGAATTTGCACGACTTCCCCATGATTAGATCACAGTCTCTGCATTGTGCAGATGAGGAAAGTGAGGCTCAGAGAGGTTCCACAGGGGAGGGTGGGAATGTGTTGGATGCTAAAGGCCATTGGACTTCCCTGCCCTCAGGACACAGGCAACAGCAGCTCACAGGCCACATTACACGTTAATCTAACACAAGAAAGTAACACATTTTTGCTGGCTGTGGCCTGGACCAGATTCCATTCTCAGAAGGGCTGCTCCATCAAAAGATGCTGCTGCTGCTGTTGCCAAGGCACCACTGTTAGCTTTCTGAAGCATCTTCAGTGAGAGAGGTGAAGGCCCAGGTGGACACTGAGGTGGGGGGAAGTCTGGAAAAAGGGGTCAAATCACCCAGCCAGCAGGACAAACCATCCTGATGCTGACTTATCCCCTGCCCCCTGCAAAGGGCCACCTCCTACCCCACCCATGATTGTTGTCTCTGGGCTGTGCTCAGTGAACTCTCTCCCCCAGTGTGGCAACTGCCTTTGCTGCGAACGTGCAGACATCGCGGGAAGAATGCACTCTGCCTGCCTGGCTCCATCGGGACCTACCAGGTGCCAGTGGGAAAGACAGATTAGTCTTGGAAAACTTTCCAGAAAGTTCCTTCAGCCCTTGATCTGGGTGGAGGGGATACCACTCCAGCATTTTTGTGGTCAGTGCCAAGGTGCCTCCAGAGAGCTCTGGACGAGGGAGGCAGCTGATAGGTGCAAGTGCACTGGAGGTGGTGACTGGCTGTGCCGCTTGGATGAAACACTTTCCCTCTCTGAGCTCTAATTTCTTCATTACTAAAATGGGAGAACGCTGGTCTGATGCAGGGAGAGGGGACAAGGATTCTACATAGGAACCTGCAGATGTAGGTATCTCAGAAGCCAGTTCCTGCAAGCGGTGGCCTCCAGGAGACCCACCCAAGGCCAAGACCTCGCCAGCCAAGCCCCCTAGGGCCTTGTGCACCCAGAATCCTTTAGCTGTTCATGTCTGCAGCCATGGTGAGTCAGCGTTGCTCTCTTTTAGATGTTTGTAGGCGCTCCATCCTTATTGCACAGATGAGAACTGGAGGCTCAGAGAGGGCAGGGGCTCTGCTCCAGCGACAGAGCCTGGACTGCGAACCAGGGTCTGACACCTCTGGGCAGAACACAGCAGTGTCCTCGATAGTCTGGGGCAAACCAGGGATTAGCTGGAGCATAAGGGGCAGGCCTTGGGGTCAGGGAGGCTAGGAGAAGGGGCAGAGATGGAGATAAGAGAGATGGGAGTCTGAGAGATGGAAAGAGAAAAAGTGAACCTCTGTTCTTGCCTGCCCAGCATCCCTGCTTCCTAAAGTGGCTCCTCAGTTTCCCCAAGGCCAGTCCACACGACTGGGAGGGAATTAACTCCACCCCCTGGTTCCAGGCATGATAGTGTGACCCAGGTCTGGTCAACCAGAATCACAGTGATAAGCACAGGGATGGACACAGGACCAGTCCTGCCTGGAAAGAATCCTGCCTTTGCTGGAATCCCTGGGACAGGGGAGCTTTCTGTCTGAAGGATGCTAAACAGGCAGGACACAAGCCTGGGGCTGCTGGAGCTGTCTTTCAGGAGAGAACCTGACTGAGAATGAGGTCAGCATGGTGGCTGGCAGACCTGAGAGGTGGGGAGGGACATCACTTGAGCACCTGGATCTATAACCACATCTGAATCCATCCCTAGACTCCCTGTATGTGAGTCAATCCATTCCTCAGAATAAGGTTTCTATCCCTTGCACAGAGAAGGAAGGAAAGTAAGAAGGAAGGATGAATATTTTAAAGAACAGATGTGTGAGCGTTACCCAAATCGGCTTCTTGGTCTTCTTAGACAACTGGAGTGCAGACAGGGATTTGGGTCTTCACCCCACCCAGAGGAGTTCTGTTCCTGGGGCACACAGCATTGCCTATACACTTGTAGTACAAAAATAAATGCTGTACATACAAAAATAAAATGCTTACCTTCCCTGGGTCCAGAAGAAGGGGTGGCATGCAGTAGGGGGCCGATTTCTCCACCCCATTCACCTCTTTGGGAACTAACATTTATTAGGCACCTGTTTCATGCCAGGCTCTGTTAAGAAGTTGCAATACAAGGTCTCATTTCCTCCTGCCCCATCACAGCAAGGAGGGAATATCACCATCTCCATTTCACAGACCAGATGATTGAGGCCTTGAGAGGCTGAGCCACTGGCTTCAAGTTCAAGAGCTGGAATAGGGCTGTCTGACTCCTAAGACCTGCCAACAGCACCGCACTGCACACCATAGACACTAAATAAAGGCTTGCCGAGTAAATGCTGGATAGGGTGGTGTCAGCCTTCTGGGCAGCCACCTGCCCCTAAGTACTTTTCCCTCCTGCCTTAAGTCACCATTAGCAACCACATCCTTTAGTTTCCCTGAAGGAGATCAGCATTAATCTGTGCTGGGTTTAATCAGTGGATTGGCCGAGGTGGGACCTAGGGGTGGGGACAGAGCCCAGTGGGATGAAGGTGCCCCATTTCCACCGTGCAGCCCCATCCAGGAGAAAACCTTCTGAAGACAGAGGCGCAACCTGGCGGTAAGGCAGGTCGGTCGTGGGCTGGGCCCGGGCGTTGGCTGAGGATGACAGGACTTAGGTGGCCTCATCAGGTCTGAGGAGGGTGACACAATAATGGGACTGGGTGGTAGAGTGGCTGTGGCCCCTCTCTGAAAAAAGTTCACGAGGAGCCCATGGTCTCCCAGACTCGGCAAAGGCCCAGTCTCCATGGACCCCTAGCTGCAGCATCGCTGTTGGACAAGGCAAGAGGAGGCTAGGGGCTCTGCCTTGGAGGCAGGAGGGATCTGGACCCAGCGATTGGTGTCCTGTTCGAGGCAGAGTGGGCCCCAAGAGCCCCTGAACTTGAGCTGGTATGAGCTGGGGTCACAGGGAGTGCTGAGGGCAGCCCCCAGACAGAGATCTGGCTTCCTACGGACAGAGAAGCCCTGGAGCACAGACAGGAAACTTAGTTCTAGACCCTTCTTCAGCAACGGTGTATCTGTTTTAACCCAAAGGTTCCTTCCAGTTGTTTTTAGAGGCTGAGAATGTCACTGTGGCCCTCGTAGCGAGAAATGGTGAAAGCAGCTAGGGGGTGGGGATAGTGACCTGGGGTTTCAGCTCGTGACATACGAGGACCAGCTTTTTCCAAGGGTATCCGCAGCCCTGAGAGATGCTCTGGGATAATCAGGGCCCATTTTCAAATAAATAAATTTTGGGAAAGCTGCCTACTCTAGCCCTTTCATGGGCAGTCACTAAGCACATGACCACACTAATGGCTCTGACAAGGCCTGCAGCTAAGAATGCCTGTTCACGTTGATTTAACCTGGTGTTTCCCTCCCTCACTTGACCACAGGTACTTTTAGAGGGGAGTCCTAGTTATTCTCCCTGGAATATATTCTAGGACATTCAAGGGGTAAAGGAATCCCTCTTAGATCTCCTAGAGCCCCTGAGAAACCACATCTGAGCTTTAGATGCTGGGGCCTAGGAGCGGTAGACAATGTGGGTGGAAATAACTCCCGTTATAGGGTGGATGCAGCTCCTTCAGTCCTGAACAGAAAGTTCAAGGACATCTCAAGGCTGAGAAAGCTTGGAACAAGAGATGGCCTTCCCAAAAACCCAGGGACAGAGTCTGGGCCTCCATCTGGGCAGTTTCCTGCCTGTAAATACCTTCCCGCCTGCCTCACATCCCATCACTAGTCGTGTATTCCTTTGAGGAGCCCAGTTAAATCTGTTCTCAGCTCATCCAGGGTACTGTGAGCCTCAAGCTGGCCAGAGGGCCCTGCAGGAGGCAGGAGAGAAGAGGAAATAGGGACAATGCAGAGGCAGGAACCCCCAAACACCCACCATCTCACAACTGGAGGGAAAAAGGGAGGGAGGTGACTCTTCTGGACTCCTGGGGCAAGGAGGGCTGGCTCAGGGGACCCAGGGTGTCCAGGACAAGGTCCTGGCGTTGTGTCCAGTGTTCGGGTCCAGCTCGTTCAGAGGATACCACATCCAGGTCCTCCTGCGGGACCAGCCTCCAGGCGTGGCTGCTCCTTAGATGTCTGTGGGACGCACCATCATGCGAGTAGAGCGCAGCGAGTAGCTAGGGCCTTGGAAGTATTGCCAGCGGATGCCGTTGAGCTTGCGCACGTGGTGGCGGGCCGGGTAGTAGATGCCATTGAGGTTTGAGAGGCCGCAGGCATCAAACCACCATCCTGGTGGAGGGGGAGTTAGAGGCTCTGGGGAGGTGGGGGCCCAGCCAGTGGGGCGAGGGCAGCCCCCTACCCCAAAGATGAATCAGGGCTGGTGGCTCCTCTGGGAAGCCAGCTCGCTGGAGACGGGGCTGGGTGGGAACGGGCATTGGGTGGTGGGGGAGGGAGGCTCCCAGACCCGCTGATCAGTATGGGCCCTCCAGAGGCAGTGCACTCATGTCTGTCTCTCTGTGTCTCTCTCTGATCTCTCTTTGCTCTGCCTTATCCTACCTTTCTGTGTCTCTCTGTCTTTCACACCCTTTGTCCATCTGTCTGTGGTCTGCATTTCTCTCTCCATCTCTCCCTCTGTCCCCGTGTAGCTCTGTGCCCAGCACTCTGTCCGTCCATCCTGATGTCTCTCTCGTCTCCCTCTGTCCCTGTCTCTGTGTCTCTGGAGGTCTCCTCTGATCTCTGTCCTTCCCATTCTGTCTCTCACTCCTCACCTCCCACTCTCTGATGTCTCTCCCCACAGAAAACACTGCCTAAGCCAGAGTTGGTGGGCAGCTGTCCCTCTGCCCTCCACCCAGGTCTCCCGCCTCCGGATCCTGCTTGGCCCGGGAGGAGGGTTGGGGAGGAAGTCTCAGGCCTGGGGTTGGGGCAGATTAGGCATTGTACCCCCCTAGGGTGCACCCTGGGCCCCACTCTCAGTGCTTCTCAGAGGAGAACTGGTGATGCCAGCTTTAGGAGGAGGTGAGACCTTGGAGGGGACCTCAAGGACCCTGTCAGGGGGAAGGTATGGATGAGGCACGGCCAGGCCAGCCCGTGGGTGAGCGAGACCCTGACCTGCACCCACTTCTTGATGGCATCTGGCTGCACAAGGACCCAAATGGGGAGGGGAGGGGGGTATTCAGCCAGGCGTGCCTGTGGGGAGGTGGGGCTTCATCCCGCCCCACACCCACCTCCGGACAGCATCTGGGCGCACTTGCAGAGGCAGTTGTCGTTGTCTGCGTCGCGGGTGCTGAAGTTGGTGCCCTGCAGGACCAGGCTGCTCTGGCGCCCCGCCGAGCCGCTGTACCCACTCAGAGAAAGCCTGGAGGCCACCCGGAGGTGGTGATGGGAGAAGGGCCCAGAGTCAGGTTGGGGGTGGTTGCGGAAGGGGTTCCCCTCTGGTTGTGCTGAGGCATCTCCCCTCCCTGTCTGCTGCCTGCAGGGACAGAGCGCCCACCGCGTGCCAGGCCTACCTCAGCTGGCTGAACCTGAGTCTTGGCCAGTTGTGAGAATGATCGTGACAATAATAATAATGAGGACCATGGCTAACAATTTTTTGAACATCTACTATGTGCCAGGCATTGTTTAAAGCACTTTACATGGGTTAATTCATTCTCATTTAATCCTCAAAATACCTTAGTATTCCCATTTTACAGAAGAGGAAACAGAGCTCCCAAGAGCCACAGGAGCCTGCCTGAGATCTCAGAACAAATGAGGGTGAGAGACAGATCCCAGCCCCATTTGGCCTGACTTGGGAGCCGTGTGCATTACCTTCCCAGCTGACCATCCGGCAACCCCAGCCCTGTCACACCTCCTCACGCCTACCCACGCCCTCCGGGAAGCCTTCCTTGACCACACCAGCCCACATGGATCAGGGCCCTGAGGCACCCCCAGCCCTGTGACTTCCACCCCTGCAGCCAGCTGGGGAGGGTTTCTATTTCTCGGTCAGGCTATGAGGCCCTGGAGGGCACATCCAGGCCTTTGTGGTGACTATGACCACAAGTTCTGGGGGTAAAATGCCTGGATTCAAATCCCAGCTGTGCCACTCGTCAGCTGTGTGGCCTTGGGCAGATTGCTTCGCCACTCAGCTTCAGTTTCTTCATCTGTTAAAACGGTAACGATAGTATATTAACCGTCATTGTGATGGGGTGACCTCGGCGTGTGACAGGTGCAGGGCAGCACTGGCACACGGTAAGTGCCTGGCACGTTCGGTGCTTGTGGATTCGTCCCATCCTGCCCCCGTGTTCCCAGCCCGTGTGCATGGCTGGCACAGGCTTCCACTGAGCCTGGCAGGAGAGAGTGTTGGGGGCTTGTAGCAGGGCAGGGGCTGCACTGGCAGCTGAGGCGGGAGCCAGTTTGGGAGCAATAGAAGGTCCTATGGGTGGAGGCAAGTGGACACCAGATGCAGCCGGGGCAGCTCAGGGAAGCCCTGGCTCCCCAGGGCAGGGCCTGCGAGATGCCCCCATTGGGATCCAGAGGGAATGTGGGGCCTGGGCATGAGGCCACCTCAGTCCCTGCACCTACCACCTGTGTTCTCTGTCTGTGGTGAGGGCAGGGCTGGCTCAGGGTGGCCAGCCGTGAAGCCTTAACTGTGCCCTTAAATATGCCACCCTGGGCTTGCATGAGGGGTGCTGCAGATCCCCCGCCAAGAGGCCTACCTGGCCAGGGGCTCCCTGGGGTGGGGACAGGCTGGCCGGCCCACCTGCTCATGTGGTCCCAGCTTCTCCTTGTGGCCACTGAGGGCTCCATTCGAGGGCTCAGTCATGTCAGTTCAAGGCCAGGCTCGGGACTCAGGCTAAAGTTTGGGGTCACCTTTAGTCTGGGGCTGTGTGGAATCAATGCCGGACAAAGCCGAATGACCTCATGGGGTCACTGCGGCAGCACTGGCCCCAGGCCCTCAGCCTCCCTTCCCCACCTCTCTGGGAGCCAGAAGGGGGATCTGTGGTCTCTAAGGGACCCTCAGGTCATGAGCCGGGAAGCCCCGCTTGACCCATTGCTCAGATGCACTTTGGACATAATCATGGCTCAGGTCTGGGGAACACAAACATACACGAGTCCTTGGACACCCCCAAGTGAGACACACGAGGTGTGTGAGTCTGTGTCTGAGGTCGTGAGCGTCCGGATACAAGTCTCTGTGCCTGCGTGTTTATGTCTGCGTTTAAGTTTGTGCAGCAATCTCTGTGCTGGGTCTGAGTGTGTGATCTGGAATATGTCTTTGTGCCTGAGATTGTGTGCGCGTTTACCTGAGAGGGCTTCTCTGAGGCATGTTTGCACACGTGCCTGGGTGTGTGTCTGTACTTGTTTGTGCAGCTATGGCACTTGTGTGAGTCTGTGCCCTGAAGGTTCAAGTGTGTTCCCCAGGGGTGTGGTGAGCCCCTCCACATGTGCATGTGTGTCTGTGCGTGTCCCTGTATATCTCTGTGTGTATCTTGTGCTTGTGGCCGGGTCTGGGTGTGTGGGCACCTCTGGGAGGCCTGTGCCTGGTGTCAGTGTGTGCCCGTGTCTTGTCTGTGCCTCCCCCACCCCGCTCCGTGGGCCACTTCTCTGCAGGCTTATGCATGCACCCCAGCCGGGCTCCAGAGGGTTCCCATTATTGTGTCTGACAAACAAGGGTGCCCCTCCTATCCCGATGCCCATGCTCCAGCTTCTGCCTGCCCAGGTTTCGCCACCTCTAGGCTTCCCTATGGGGATCCACCCCACCTCACCAGGCAGCTGACTCTGTACAGTGGGGACCCAGGGACAGCACCTGTTTCTGTCACTCTCCCCTTAGCCCTTCTCTGGCAGTTTCCAGGTCCCTATGTGTTTTCCAGGATCTTCCAGGCTTTTCCTGAATGAGCAGGGCCTATTCCTTACGATCCCCGCAGCCCTTGAAAGAGCCTTGCTCAGGTTTGGGGTTTCTGTGGCCAGCTGCATGTCAACTCTTCTTTCTGCCTTCTTTTCAGAATCTCCCTGCTGCTTGGGGAGTCCTTTCTATCCTCTCTCTGTCTGGAGAATGCCTACTCTTCATAGCACCACCTCCTCCAGGGAGCCCTCCCTGATAACGCAAGCATCTCTATGCCCTTGTGCTTTCCCCTTAGGTAGCTCCTGTCTTCTTGGGGGTGTGGGTTTGCTTGTGGACACACTCACCCTCAGACACACACGACACACTGGACTGTGAACAACTTTGAGGGGTAGAGTGCAGGTGTGATTCTTCCACAAATGACCAGAGCCAGCCCATGCCTGGCACAGGGCAAGTGTTCAATATATCATTATTATGATTTAGGGCTCTGCAAAGGGTCACATAGATGTGGGCCCTTTGAAACCTGAGCATAACAGTCTGGAACCGTGGGCAGGGAGCTTTCCATGTCTCAGATAAAAAGCCAGAGGCAGCGCATCAAATTCACAGAGGAGAGCACAGCAAGGGGTTCCAAATGTAACATACATGTATGTTTGTATAAATGGACATAAATAATTGAGATATACATAGATGCAGAAGTATTATATTTCTATCTTTGAATATATTGTTTGTATATCTCTAACATTTATGTAACACTTACCATATGCTATGCGTTTTCTGCAGATTATCTCAATTATGACATAGATATTATATTTTACAGATGAGGAGACTGAGGCACAGAGAGGTAAGTAACTTGTCTAAGGTCATGAATCCAACAAGTGATAGAGCCAGGGTTCATACCCAGGCAGTCTGGCTCCAGGGCCATGTTCTTTAGCATACTTTCCCCAATGTTTCTTCCCCAAGAAAAATGGCAGATCCTGGACTTAGGGCCACAGAAGCTGCTGCCCAAGAATTGGGTCATGGAGATGAGGTTTAACTGTTACTTGTGCAGGAAAGGGAGGCTCCCCCAGCTTCCTGTTATGCACTTACCATGTCCCAGGCACTGGAGATCGGAACAGCAGTGAACTTGCACAGAGCAGTCCAGCCAAATGTATGAAGGGCTGGCTTGGGGACAGTAATTATAATATTATAATATAATGTTATAATATCATTTGCTGAACATATACTAAGTGCCAGCATTAATGCTCTATGTGTAGTATCTCATTCAAGCTTCACAACACTTTAAATGAGGTAGGTACACCTATGGCACCCATTTTGCAGATGAGAAGGTGAAGGGACTTGCTCAGGGTTGCTCAGGGAGATAGGGATAAAGTCAGGATTTAAGCCTTGGCTTTGGTGGTCAGTGGCTTAAAGAGGAGTCAGCAGGGCGTTGTGGCTACTCACTGTTCAGCTTAAGGAGTCGGAGGCATCCAGCTGAGCCCCACCTAGCCCAGAGCCGGGGATGTTTCATTCAGCTCTAGATATTGCACTTGAAGGAGGAACATTATCAGACTGGGCTGGGTCCCATAGAAGGGATGTCAGAACCAGCTAGCTGGAGGAACCAGGGGCATTTAATAGAGGGATTGGGGGCACAACACCGAGAAGCCCTCAGAGGTGGAATTAGGCATACAATGCAGGCAGACAGAGAGTCATCAGAGATTCTTTGGGAGGAAGTGACCTCGCATCAGTGAAGGCATTCCAGCTTGGCTGGATGATGAATGTGGCTGCGGAGGAGATTCTAGCATCATGTGAAGAACCAGGTGACATGTGAGGTCCTTTGCGGCCCTAGAGCATGAGTCTATGAATTCAATTCTGTCCTGGTTCCAAGATAGCTTATCTTTAAGATCCTTGAGTTTCTGAGAGATGTAACATCATGTAGGAGAAACGCCATGAGTTTTGGCAGCAAAACTGAGTTCAAAACCAGGCCCTACCTGTTTTGTAACTTTGGGCAGGGGACTTAAGCTCTGTGTCTCAGTTTCCACATCGCTAAAGCAGGTACAGCAATGCTTACCTCAGAAGGCTGTGGGGAGGATTAAATGGAGTCATGTGCCTGGAACATAATAGGTGCTCAAGAAATGTTCATTCCTTTTCCTGAGCAGAGCCAAGAACCAGGCTGAGGGAGGGGTGAGAGACCTTGATGATTTTATAATGGGCTCATATTTAAGCCCATCCTGTGGTTAAGAAGCAGAGGTACAGAGAAGCCCACTTGACTTGCCTGAGTTCACACACTGAGCTGGAGCAGAGCCAGAATGATCCCAGTTCCCCTGATTCCCAGCCTGAAATTTCCACCTCACCCCACAGCATAGGACAGGCTGGGAAAGTCACCACCCCACTTCTGGGCCTCTGTAAAATGATTGCCTCGGGGTGACTGACCTTGGAAGGCCCCTTCCTGTTCCTGGCATGGCAGTGTCAGCGACATTCTCTCCACCCCACCCAGTGGCCAGGATGTGCTGAGTGCTAACCAGCCGCCTCCAGATCCCATGACGTGCGCCCAGATCGGGGACAGATGGCAGGAACTGGAGACGCCCAGGGACTGACCGTTGGTGCATACTCGGTAGCCACTAGCCGAGGGCTCCCAGCCCACCCATGAGCCTGGGCCCCAAGCCCACCTGTACAGCTGCCCCTCGCTGCCCAGCTGGAAGTGCTCATACTGGGCGTAGGCCTCGTTGCCTTCCCAATCTTGCAGCTCCACGCGCAGAGAGTACGCTGCCCTGCTGGTGAGCTGGTGTACCACCTCGTTACCTAACCAGTGCTCCCCGGCTGGGTTGCCAAAGCCCTGGGGAAGAGGAGAATGGGGGTAGGCTGCATGCCGAGGAGGAAGGCTACGCCTCTGCTTAAGGAGCTGGGCTGGGCCGGGCTCTGGGGACACTTACCCAAAACCACTTTGCTAGGAGCTCCCCAACTCCTAGAGCAAAAAGACTAAGACTTTTGTGAATGGAAAAGCCTGTTGAAAATAATTGAAATCACATGAATCATAATTGAAATCTATGAAGTTCAAGAACAGGCAAAAAAAAAGAAGCCTGTGGTGGTAGAAGGCAGAATAGCTACTACCTTTAGGGGAGTCTTGACTTGGAGGGGACACAAGGAGGGTTTCTGGGGTGCTGGAAGTGTTGTATATCTGGCTTTGAATGGTGGCCACATGGGTGAATACATATGTGAAAATTCACTGAGTCTTACACTTCAGAGTTGTGCAGTTAGCCGCATGAATATGACATCTCAATTAAAAAATTAAAAACTTAAATCAGCTGCTTAAGGGGTAGAGCAAACATTGTTCAGTGACACGGCAGCCACTGCAAAATTTCAGTAACATAGGAATGTAAAGCTAAGAGCGTTGGGAGTCACCAGTGTCCCAGAGTGACACGTGACCAATGCCCTTGGCCAGAACAATAATTCAGCACCGAGGACAGGGCATACCTAAGCCCCACTCCCCATTTTAGTCATGCTGTACCACTTATTAGCCTAATGGTTAATATTCAGCAGTCTTTTGCGTATTTCTGCTTCTGAGCACCCTATTTCTCTTTGCCATTTGAATGATTCTTTAAAACCCAATTGGTTCAAGAACACTCATAGATTAATTTGGTACTTTTTAAAAAGTATTTATCAAATGAACAGCAAAGCAGACACACAAAAAGTAGTATTGTTGTATTTCTGTGTATCTTTTCTGTTTCTTTTGCTCTTAAAAACTTTAAGAGCTTTTAAGTCAGCTTGCCAAAAATCCTTTATCCAAAATTTAATTAAAATATTGGAAGACAATCAGGCACTATTCCTCATCTTGTAAAATGCATGGGGTCTTTAAGCCAGCAATTCTGAATTTAAAAAATCTCTCCTGCAGATGTAGTCATGTATGTGTGCTAAGACAAAGACATTCATTTAAGCAATGCAGCCAGGGGTGAGCAGCAGAGATCACTTTTTTCTGTTTCCTTTTTTGTATTCTTTAAAAAATTTTACCAAGGTATATGTATTATCTTTTCCAAAAATTAAAACAAAATAAAACTTAAACTTTCATTCTTAGAATATATGTCGGGACTTGCAAAAAGAGTGTTCAATTTCGGGTGATGGAGTCCCTGATAGCGTATTTGCACTGGCCAAATCTGTTTGAAGGCAGTTGGTTTAGGTGGGCTGATTTATTTTCTGAGAAGGGTTGGGGGCAAACCAGACCCCTGCCCACAACCCACTTCCTGCCCCAGCTTTCAGGGCTGACAAGCTCCTCCCCAGGGCAGAAATGTTACCTGTTTGTAATCCTTCCAGTTCCGTTGGAAATTCATGCTGCCATTCTCACGGCGCTGGATGAGGGTCCACCCACCTCCACTGGCCTCCATGTCACAGAACACCTGGAGGAAATTGGGGAGGTGGGAAGTTGGAAGCCCCAGGAGGCAGCCAGAAGCCAGGTCTGGGCCAGCCCGAGGGTGATTTGGCTGACAGAACCTCACAGAGCAACAGGTGAGCTTGGTGGCCAAGGGCATCCCAAGGATCCAGGTCCAAATCCCCCACCCGTTGTCTTCATTTTTCTAAAATGGTGGGCAAGTGATGTCCTCTCGGAGCCTTCTTTTCCTCAGTTGTAAAATGGGGATGTTAATACCTTAACCTTTTTGTGCCTCAGTTTCTCATCTGCACACTGGGATTGTTGTGAAAATTAAATGAGATGAGTCATCCATCAAAAGAACAGAGCCTGGCACATAACATACTAGGAACTCAGTAAATGGAGGCCTTTCACTCGCTATTATTGCAGGGTTGCTGTAAGAATTAAATGCCAAGAGATGTAAAGTGCTTGGCACATGGTGTAGACTCAGCAAATGTTATTACAGGGGTTCCCTGGTGGCCTAATGGTTAGGATTCCGTGCTTTCATTGTGGAAGCCCAGGTTCGATCCCTGGTTGGGAAACCAGCCTGCATGCTGGGCGGCATGGCCAAAATACAAAAAAAAAAAAAAAAAAAGGAAATGTTATTACATTCAGCAGACAAATGTTTTCTGAGCACTTACTAGGTGCCAGGTTCCATTCAAGGCATGGGGAATGCCAATATGGATAAGACAGAATGATTCTTTCTTTCAAAGAGCTTACCATCCACCACAATCACATCTTTCAGTTTAACTTTTGTTCACATATTATTTTTTCCAGCCAGCTCAGTACATTTCAATGTTTGATGAGGAAACACTTGGTGCCTGCCCCTGTACTAGGTGAATCAGAGACAAATCAGAGATAAATTACCCCCCAGGGCTGGCTTTGTCTGGAGGAGGCTAGCAGACTGATAGGGCTAGGTCTGATAGGGCTAGCAGACTATTGAATAGGAACATTTGGGCAGCTACAAAGAGAGTTCCCAAGAAGGAGTCATGGGGCAATCCTGGAAAGCTTCCCAGGGGAGGTGGCATTGGAACAAGGCCAATGCCTTGTTGATGATGTGCCTGCCAGACAGAGATGAGTGGGAATAGTGTTTCCAGTGGAGGGAGCAGGAGTAAAGGCTCTGAGATGGTGAAGGTCTGCTCAGGGAGAGAAGACAGTGGCATCTGTTGTGAGGGTAGCAGAAGTTGCAGGAAGGGAAACTGAGGCCCAGAGAAGGGAAGGGACTTGCTCAAGGCAAATGAGTCAAAAGTAAAGCTGAGGTTTGAGCCCAGATCTCTTGCCTCCCAGGCCAGCTCTTCCCTCTCTATCAGTGTTCCCAAATTTTAGTTATTCACACCTTCCCAAATTCCACCATAGCTGAACTAATTTCATATAAAATATTTACTTTAAAAATGGTATCTTTCATAGAGAATGGACTTGAGGATACGGGGAGTGGGAAGGGTAAGCCGGGATGAAGTGAGAGAGTGGCATGGACATATATACACTACCAAATGTAAAATAGATAGCTAGTGGGAAGCAGCCGCATAGCACAGGGAGATCAGCTCGGTGCTTTGTGACCACCTAGAGGGGTGAGATAGGGAGGGTGGGAGGGAGACGTGGGAGGGAGGAGATATGGGGATGTATGTATATGTATAGCTGATTCACTGTGTTATACAGCAGAAACTAACACACCATTGTAAAGCAATTATACTCCAATGAAGATGTTAAAAAAAAATGGTGTCTTTTTTTTTTTTTTTACTTAAATAAATACTCAGACTAAATGCATCTTAAAAGGAAATCTTATTAGTACCATAGAGGGAAAATTAGTAACACTTCCCTTTATTCAGATAATTGTAAAAATATATATAATGAAAACAAAATAGTGTTAGAAAATTCTGGCTAGAGATTGAGGGCCTGATCTCTCTTTGTTAAAAGGGGGATTTAGCAGGTGTGTGAGAACTGTTAAAGATAATCCGAGCCATCCTCCTTGATATATTCAGCAGGGTTGAAAGAAAACTGAAAAGGGAATACGAAGTGGGAAGACTGGCTAGTTGTTCCCCAAACTCTTCCACTTCTGGGCCTGGCCCCCAAACCCTCCCTCCTGACATCCACATTTTCCCTTGACTGCCCTCCCCCCACACATCTGATAACTGGGCCTCAAAGTTCTGGGTAAGCTTGGGAGCCACTCACTGAAGATGGTGGAGCTTCCATCGGCCCCAGTCTCTAATTTCCCACATAAAGCAAAGCTCCCACACCTACCTTCAGCTGGACTGTAAGTAAATTGGAAATAAACTTCTTTGTGTTAAGCCCCTGGAACTGAAATTCTTGTAGTTTGTTTGCTGTATCAGCTATAGCATTATCTGAACAAGCACAGAACCATTTATTGCTATTTGAACTTAAAAGCGTCCCAGGAGGACATGCTGGAGAAGAATGCACTGCCACCTTTGGGAAATTCTGCTTTAACCGCATGATCTGACCCCTGAATGAGTGGGGGCTCCAGAGGGTAGGGTCACCCCCACCTTCTCTGGAATCTCAGATGTTGGACAAGGCCTGGACGTGATGGTGGTGGGGGCAGGGCGGGGTGGGGTGGAGGGTTGTCTGAGAGTCTTCTGGCTCAGCACCCTCTGATAGCTTCAGCCCTCAGGGAGCCCCCTAACCTTTCTGGGCTCTGTCACATTGGCCACATGGATGGTGTAGATGCCACTGGCATTGGCTCCGGAGCGCTGGATCTCTGCACAGTCCTGGAACACCTGCTCAGCTGCCCTCATGGAGGCTGCAATGGGACAAGGTAAAAACAATTGGAAGTGGGCTAAGGAGAGAGGGAAGGGGTCAGGTGGGCACTCCCGTCTGCTCTGTGCCAGGTTCTGGGCTGGGAGGCGTTGGGGATAGGGAGATGTATCGGACCCTGGAAAGTTTCGTAGAGGAGCTGACAGTGAGCTGGGACCTGGGTGAGGAGCAGAGGCCACCCAGGTGGAGAAGGGACGAGTGTCTCAGGCAGAGGGAACAGCATATGCGCGGGCTCCAAGGCGGGAAGAGTCCTGTGTGTGCAGGGATTGGGGTGTGGTGAGGGGAATTTGGCTGAGGCCACAAAGAGGAGATGACTCACACCCAAATCCAGAGCTAAGGCCAGAGGGAGCTCTGGCTGTTTGATGGACCAGGGAGCATCATTAAGGAAGGAGAGATGAGGCTGAGATTTCAGCCTTGAATGCCAGGCTGAGGAGCCCAGACTGTGCAGAAGAGCCCTCTGGCCAGAGGATAGAACAGAGATTGGAGGGGATGAGACTCAAAGCAGGAAGGGCAGAGATGAGGCTGCTAGAGTCTTCCAGGACAGGTAATTGGGGCTTGAACTCCACTGAGGTACTTCCGCATTTCACAGACTAGGAAACTGAGGCCCCAAAGTGAGGTAACTGGCTCAAGGGCACACAGCTGGGTCGGGTGGGAGGGGTTGGGCAGGGCTTTCCCTCTCTCCAGGTCTTATGGGGGAATTGTCCTTGGAGCTCCCTCGGGTAGGAGACCCAGGGTCCCCTCCATAGCCCACTCTACCAGCTGGATATCCCTGCAGCTCTTAGGTGGGTCCCCCTCATTATGTCCTCCCTGGGAGCTGACCTCTGGCCTTAAGGGAGAATATTAATTTAATGGCCAAATCCCACCAGGGCCCTGGAGGCCTCCAGGCTTAACTTGAAAAAAGTGACTGTTGGTAAATAAACTACAGAGGTTTCAAACACCCTCTCTGGCTCCTTTTTTGTGATTCAATTAGAGGTTTGGGCTATGATTCCACCAGAAACCAATCTTTGGGTAGGTGGGTATCCAAGGATAGGGCTAAAGTTCCAGATGGATAGGTATCCTGACCAGTGAGGAACCAGGAAGCTACCAAGGGGTGGGACTTCCTGTTTTGGCCTCAATCTTGAACCCGGATCCTGGGTCCTGGAGCTGAGGCCCTGTTGAAATGAGGCTGTTATTCCCAGATCACAAATGAAGGGACAAAGGCCCCAAATCCATCCCAGTCTGTGCACAAACATTCCCTGGGCAGGGTCTCCACGGCCCCGTCTGCCAGCCCCCTGGTCCCTGGGGAACTCGAGTCTAGCCAAGCCTGGTAGGTTGCTGGCCTAGAGGCGAGCTGGGACAGGCCCAACTTTCCCAGCTAGGCAAGGGCAGAGCTAGGAGTTGGCCTCAGATTTCCAGCCACTCTTCTCAGGGTCTGTCCACTATTGTTTTCCTTAGTCAACAACAATAGCCTTAACAACAATCATAGCAATAAAAGTGAAATACCCACCATGCATTGTAGTGTTTCTTAGCCAGGTACTGTCAGGGGCAGTCTGGGGCCAGGAAAAGTATTTTCAGGGAGCGTAAGAGCAAGGATGGACCAGTATTGACATGCAACATAGTTTGGCCTCAGCCTGGACCCCCCTTAATCTTTGTACCAGCTTCACCCCCTTTTGGCCCCAGGCACCATGCTCAGCCCCTTCATGTGTATGAACTCATCTGATGCTCTGTGCCAGAACTCTGAGAGATAGGAGCTATTATTATTCCCATTTTATAGGTGAGGAAAATCAAGGCTCTGAGATGTTAAATGACCTGTGCAAAGTGCCAGTGCTAGTAAGTGAAGGAGCCAGAGCTTGAACTCTGGTCCATTTGACTGGAGAGCCAGTACCTTTCCTACTACCCACCTCTCCTTGGGTCTCCACCACTGAGCCCATACAAGACCAAACAGACCTCGTTAACGAATGCTGCTTTTGATACCATGCATGGGTTAGGTCTTTTCTACCTGTGTCCCCATCCTTCTAACCTTCTGAACGCCCTGAGTTGTCCACCCCTTGCCAGCCTCCACCTGCCTAGGACAAAGCTGTGCAGAGAGGGGGTGCAGGCTTCCTGCTGGCCTTCATGGATGCCTGCTTCCTGTGCCCGTCTCCATCCAATCTTCTGTTCTACACCTGGTGACTAATCTTCCTCCAGTTTCTCCATCTAGACAGTAGGGAGAAACAACCCGTAGTGCCTCTCCCTGGTGACAGTGGGGTAGGACAGGCGTTTGGTCAAAGGGTGCCTGAGGCAAAGTCCCCTATACAACCTCTCACCCAGACTGGTGAGCAGACATTGGGCCACAGCTGGAGACTGGGTTAGCGGTGAGCCTGTGGGGAGAAGTGTTGGGCCCAGGCCTTTGGCTGAGCTACAGGATTAATTTAGGCAGCCTCATTGCTACGGCTCTATGCACAAGCCAGTGATGGGTTCGGGTCACTCCTAATCTCATGGTTTGGAAGGTGCTCACCTCTCTTGCCTGTGGCTACCTCAGGCCTCACACCCCTATCTGGTGGGGCCTGCCCAACTTAGATGGAGCCATGGTGCCATCCTCTGTCTCTAAATCGCTGCCAGCCATAGTGTCTGGAATCCACCACTATTGCTTTTTTATTTTTTTGGCTGCATTGGGTTTTTGTTGCTGCGCGCGGGCTTTCTCTAGTTGTGGCGAGCGGGGGCTACTCTTCCTTGTGGTGCGTGGGCTTCTCATTGCGGTGGCTTCTCTTACTGTGGAGCACGGGCTCTAGGCATGTGGGCTTCAGTGGTTGCATCACGGGCTTAACTGCCCCGCGGCATGTGGGATCTTCCCGGAGGATCAGGTATCGAACCCATGTCCCCTGCATTGGCAGGCGGATTCTTAACCACTGGAAACTTCAGGAACACTTCTAGCAGGGCATCTAGCACATAGTAGGCACTTAACAAATATGTATTTCCTCCTCCTTCCTTCAGAGACCCACAGACGGCGGTTGGGCATCTTTTGCAAGAGACTGTTGTGGAACTCTGCTGTTCACAGCTGTATCCACAGCACCCAGCACCGGGTCTGGCTCAGTAAGTGCTTGTTGACTGAGTGATTGAAGCTGGAACTGAGTGATTGAAGTCGGTCCCATTAGAAGTGAGGGCTGGGGAGCGGGGCCGGCCATTGTCCTGCTTTCTCAGAAGCCTGGGCCACAGGTGCCTCCCCACTTCTGTTTGGCCCTCTTGGGCTTAGGGGCAGGGGGCATTAGGGTGAGAGAAGTCCTTGGGAGGCATTGAGTCCAACCTCTCCATTCTGCAGATAGGGAAACTGAGGCCTGGGGGTGGGGTCAAGCCCAAGCAAGTGAGGATGGAGGGTGGATCCTGGACCCCAGACTCCTCAGTCTGGGCTGGTGGTATCCTTCTTATTATCATCACCTCCATTAAACGCATGGGGAAACGAAGGCCGGTCAAGGTCACACATGGAGTCAGGGCGAGAGTCTGGATTGGTTCCTCTTAGGACGGTTGTCCTCACCATTATTACTACTGTTTGGTGTTATTTCTGTTTCATAGGTGTGGGCGGTGGGTGGTCTTTCCCGAGGTAGCTTCCAGGACTGGTGTGAACCGGGAGGGTAAGCGGGGTCTCCCACCCCTCTCCGCCCCTCCTCCCGCACCTGGCGGGCCCTCTTTGCTCACCCGGGCCCTGGGCCACGACGCGCACCAGGCGCTGCACCGACTCCAGCAGCTGGCTCTGCTGGCGCTGCAGGAGGCTGGAGTTGCTGCTGGCGGCGCGCAGGCTGCGCTCAAGGCCGGCGAGGGCGCCGCTCTGGCGGCCCAGCAGGCGCCGCAGCCGCTCCTTCTCGCCGCGGAGGCTGGCCAGCTCCGCCTGCTGCTGCGTCTCCAGGGCCTGCACCCGCGTCTCCAGCGCGCTGCGGGGCGGGGGCGCACAGGCGTGAACCCGCCGTCCCCACGTTGCAGTCACACTCGCGGGCTTTCCCCTGGGCCCCGGGGTGAGGTTCAGACCGGCACTGAGGCTCAGAGCGGTAGCGTCCCGCCCAGGGTTACACAGCCCGGAGGTCCATGCCCACAGATAGCACAGAGTGAGGCGGGGAGGAAAGAGAGACCTGGCCTTGGAGTAAAATGGATTGGAGTCCAGTAGAGGAAAGAGGTGGGGTGGGAGGGACACAGTAGCAACCTGGTAGCCATTATCAAATCCCAAATATGCGTGCCCTTTGACCTAGCAATCCACTCACCAGAGATAACCTCCAGGGAGCATGGGCATGAATGCCCTTTGGAGGATGGGTTGTAATAGGGAAAAACAAAACAACCAAAATGCCAACAGCCAGGACTGGCTGAGTCTGTTCTGTTCTGGTGTCCCTGGAAATGTTCTGGAGCGGTGAAGGGGAAGGAGGCTGAGAGCATTTGCGCAGAATTGGAAAGATGCCGGGGGCCTTGGAGTGGGCGCCCTGGCGCATCAGTACCTCTAGTCTAACCCCACATGTGGGAAATTAAAAGAGAAACAAAAAGGTATTAATGTAAATGTGGAGGGACACTGGGGGGCTTATAGGAAAAGGCGTGGATGGACACGTGGAAGGACATAGTGGTGCCTGTGTTTCTAGCGAATGTAAAAGAAAATCCACTAAGTGCTGTTACTTCTGCAGAGCAGGTTTGAGCAGATGGGGGTGGAGAGGAGGGGGTGGCTGGAGGGGACTGACCTTCCCTTTCATTCTGCACAGGTCTCTATTGTCTGATAAGTAAGATTGTTTAATAATCATGAGGCATTTTTGTAATGAGTTTAAAAAAAAGTCTTAAAAAAGAAAGAAGCTTTTGACTCAGCTCTTGCACTTTTGGCATTTTATCCTACAGATTTGCTCACATGTGTGTGCAATAAGATATGGGAATGTTATTCGTAGCATCACTGGTTGGAATCGTAAAAGACTGGAACAACCTCGATACCCGTTAATTGGGGACTGAAATAAACGCGGGGACAGCCATACAGTGAAACATTATGCAGCTGGAGGAAAGAACTGGCAAGTGTGTCATGCAGTTATGGAACCATCTCTAGGATAACTGAAAAAACGAGACAAAAAACCAATGTGCCAAGGAGTAGTCTGCTTCACTTGGGTTTAAAAAGGGACTGTGCATACATATTTGCCTCTGCTGTGGGTGGGTGGGGTGGCTGAGGGATAGGGGTAGGAGGGAGATGTTTTCCTATACATGAGGCTATGCCAACCCATTCTCCAGACTAAGAAAATGAGTCCAGCCAGGGCAGGAGGAATTTTCCCTGGACCCCAAATTATGCCGCAGGAAAAGAGAGAATTTGGGCACACTGGATTCTAGAATTTTAGCTGTCTCCAATGGGCCAAGAACTTATTGATGATCTCCATCTTCACTGGTCTCTAGGCACTTGGTAATTCAATTCAGAGTGATTGATAGTGTCCCAGTCCTTCCCGCCGCAGGGTGGAGAGTAAGAATAAGAAGGCACACAAACTATCATTAACGGTCCCCAGGTCACAGGGAGCTGGAGGATCCTTATGCCTTATCTTTTTTTTTTTTTGCGGTACGCGGGCCTCTCACTGCTGTGGCCTCTCCCGTTGCGGAGCACAGGCTCCGGCCGCGCAGGCTCAGCGGCCATGGCTCGCGGGCCCAGCCGCTCCGCGGCATGTGGGATCTACCCGGACCGGGGCACGAACCCGGGTCCCCTGCATCGGCAGGCGGACTCTCACCCACTGCGCCACCAGGGAAGCCCCTTATGCCTTATCTTTTTTTTTTTTTGCGGTACGCGGGCCTCTCACTGCTGTGGCCTCTCCCGTTGCGGAGCACAGGCTCCGGCCGCGCAGGCTCAGCGGCCATGGCTCGCGGGCCCAGCCGCTCCGCGGCATGTGGGATCTACCCGGACCGGGGCACGAACCCGGGTCCCCTGCATCGGCAGGCGGACTCTCACCCACTGCGCCACCAGGGAAGCCCCTTATGCCTTATCTTTTTTTTTTTTTGCGGTACGCGGGCCTCTCACTGCTGTGGCCTCTCCCGTTGCGGAGCACAGGCTCCGGCCGCGCAGGCTCAGCGGCCATGGCTCGCGGGCCCAGCCGCTCCGCGGCATGTGGGATCTACCCGGACCGGGGCACGAACCCGGGTCCCCTGCATCGGCAGGCGGACTCTCAACCACTGCGCCACCAGGGAAGCCCCTTATGCCTTATCTTGACCCAGCACGTGAACAATGGTAACATCTCGCCCTGTACACAGGCCTGTGGCTGCTTCGGTGCCTCCTCCAGCAGCCTGACCTTGGCAATGTTTTCTCTACTCAGCTCGAAACCAAGATGAAATCAACTTCAGAGGTCCATGTCTCTCTGCCTTATCTGTACCCCAGGACTCTTTCTTTCTTTGTAATTTAAAGGGTGCTCCCCTTGTGTGTCTTTGCTTATAAATGCAGAGACTGTCTGCTAATGCAGAAAAGAAACTGGTCACTGTGGTTGCTTCTGGGAAGGAGAGTTGGTAGATGAGATCAGATTTATTTGTTTACAAATAAGTAAATCAAATTAAAATGTACAGGGTGAATTGTATGGTATGTAAATGGTAGTTCAATAAAGCTGTTAAAAATTTATGAAATAAATAAAGGAAGAAAGAAAAGGAAAGAAAGAGAGAGGGAGAGATAGAAAGAACAGAGAAAGAATCAGTGTGTCCTGAGCCCCAGGAAAATGCCTGTCCCCTGTCCCACCCAGGACGGGGTAGCCAGGCCCCATGCCTGCCTGGCCACCAGCCCCAGGGTCCACATTCACTCTCGGCTTCAGTCTGATCCCCAGCCCTGGTTTCAGTCTTTCCCCCAGCCCTGGTCACGTCCCAGCTTTAGCTCCAGCCCTAGTCCCCCAAGTGTCCCCTCACTCCAGTCTTAATCCAGGCCCCTAGCTCTGGCCCCAGCCCCCATCCCAGGCCCTAGCCCAAGTCCAACTTCCAACCTCGGCCCCGGCCCGAGCCCAGCCCTGGCTGGTTCTGGTGCTCACCCTCGGTCTCAAGCCCATTTGGGTCCTAGCTGGCCCTGGCCCTCAGCCCTGGTCCCAGCCCTTCTCCCTGTCCAGTGCCAGGGTGCCAGTGCCCACCTGTTGTGGCCCTGCAGCCGGTGGAGCTCGTGGTCCTGCAGCAGCAGCTGTTTCTCCAGCTTGTTGGTGGACAGTGAGGTCTCCAGAAGCTGGATCTCCATTCTCGATGTCTGGTTCAGGACCTGCCCCGGCGAGTGGGGGGTGGGGGGAGGTGGGGGCCCATATAAGCCCTGCCAACAGCCACACACCTGACCTTGGGCCCTGCCATTCCAGAAACTTGCTGACCTATTTCCACCCTCTCAGTATTTCCTCCCTCACTCACTCACTCACAGACCCTAACTGAGCTTATGATCTGCTTCTTAAATTTACTCTTCCCCATCACTGCATGGCAGTTCCATTCCTCCTGCTGCTCGGACCCCAGCAGGGGTCACCCTTGACCCACCCCCCCATATCTAATCCATCAGCAGGTCCCATCAGCTCCACCTTCCAAATGGGTACCTGACCACTTCCCTGCGCTTCCCCGCCCCCACTCAGGCCCCGGCCTCCATCTCCCGCCGTACCGGGCCAGCCTACTCACAGGGCTCTCTGCTCTTGCCCTTGCTCCCTGCAGCCCTTGGCTGCCTGGTAGTCTGAGGCAGACTTAAAAAGCAGCCCCTATGTTCTCCCTGCGGCTCCCACCTCACACGGCAGTGGCCTGCAAAGCCCTGTGATGCCACCTGCCCCCATCACCTGTCTGAGCCCACTAGTCTCCTTGGGTCACTCCAGCCATACCGGCCTCCCTGACGCTCCTGGAGCTTGCCAGCACCGTTCCACCCCTGGGCCTTTGCATATACTGTTCTCGCAGTCGGGAAGGTTCTCCCAGTAAGCCTGGCTCCAATCCCACCCTCCCAGTGGTGCCTTCCTGGCCGTACTGTCTAAACTTGCAACCCGCCCCTCCCGCCACTCCGGGCACACATGCCCCACTGATCTCGTCCATGCTGCTTTCTCCCTACTGCTACCACCGTCTCACACACATGTTATTTATCCTGTTTGTTTTCTTGGTGCTCATTAGAAAGGAAGCTTCGTGGGGGTAAGGATCCACGCCTGTTTTGTTTACTGCTGTAAACTAGAACCAGGCCCATCCAACAGTGCCTGGTACATAGTAGGGTTTAACAAACATGTGCCTATTTGTCAGTGTCTTTTCAGCCATTCACTTACCCTCTCATTTATACTCCTGTCCTCTCCTTCCCTCTCCGCTGCTCCCTGTGGCCTCCTCTTTCAGAGTCATTGGCCCCCTGAGTTCTAATGAATTGTTTATTATCCACCTTCCCCCGGAGCACTGTGAATCCTTTGGGGTGTGTGTGTGTGCTGCTGCATCCCCTCATCCCATTGCTCAGCACGGACCCGGACACTGGAGTCACAGAGGCAGAAGAGCCAAACCCAGTGTCTACCCTCCCCCCTCCCTACCCTGGGCTCATGGCCTGGTGGGAGAGCTTTGTAATGGGGTCATCCGGGAGGAGCCCCAAGAGGCTACAGGGTCAGAGGAGGCCCTGACCTCACCCAGGGACAGGGGTCAGGGCAAGATGACTGGCGCTGTGAGCCAGCCTGGCCTGCCACAGGCCCCCCAGTGCTGCCCCTCACCCTCCGGTACCTGAGCCTCCACGTCGGTCAGCTTGCGGGTCTGGGCGGTGGTCTGGTTCAGGAGGCTGGTGCCCAGCTCCAGCATGGTGGCTGTCTGGTTCTGGACCATGTGCTGCTGGGCCTGCGCCAGCTCCAACCTCAGGTTCATCTGGATGTACCTTTCTAGCTGTGGGGAGACAGACGGTGGGCTGGGGTCATGGGTAGGGCCTGGGGGAAGGCTCCTATCCCTTCCGTATGTCCCCATGGAAGGACATAGAGCAACCAGGGGCATCCTCCACTCAGCAGCCAGAGGGATCCTGTTAAAGCTAAGTCAAATCACATTTCTCCTCTGCTCAAAACCCTCCCAGGGTTCCTGTCTCACTCAGAGGGAAAGCCAAAATCCTCTCTGACCGCAGGTTCTTTCATGACCTGGCCTCCTGCTACCACTCTGATTTCCTCTCCTTGCCTTCTCTCCCTCACTCAGCTCCAGACACACTGGCCTCTGTAACACCCTTCCAACAGAGCAAGCACACAACCACCTCAGGGCCTTTGCACATGCTGTCCCCTCTGTGTGGATCCTCCCCACTCGCACACCATCTACAAGGCTCACTCCCTCATGTCATTTCAGGTCTCTTCTTACCACTTATCACTCCCTGACTTCGTATTACATATTTATCTGTTTATTGCCTTTTAAAATTTACCCTTGGAATGTCAGTGCCATGAAGCAAGGGGCTTGGTCTTGCTTTATCTCCATATCTAGCACAATGCTTAGCTTACAGTGGGTGCTCAGACGAAATGTGTTCAATGAGTCGATGAAAAGGGGAAGCAGCAAGGGTCAGAGCATAGCGCCCAGTGTCATGCCCGTTACCCAGCTTCCTAGGGCTGAGTCAGTAGCAGGAAGTGGGGATGCATCTTTCCCCGTACAAGAGTTTGCAGGTCCATCAACCAAGCTGGACTTTCTATTTTCTGGCCCCCTCCATCTGTGAAATGGAGCTGAACTGGCCAGTCTCCAAGGGCTCTCCCAGCTCAGATGTTTTGGGATCTGACAAGCTAATGTTCATTTCTTTGACAGGGCGGCTCTCTTTCCCAAGAGCAGGAGAAAACTGGTCTGGTGTGAGACCAGGATCAAATTGCAAAGGTGAACAGCATGTTCTCAGGGCTCAGTGCCTGAAGGCAGAGAGCCGGTGCCCCTCCTCCACTCCCTCTCCATTTGGCACACTTGCTGGCTTCTTGCCACAGTCTCTATCCCCCAGCCCTGGCTCCTTCCCTTCTCCTGTCAGTCTTCCAGGAGGCCCAAAAGGGCAGCTCCCAGGGTCCCTGGGAAGACTGGTGCTTCCAAGAGAGAGGCAGTGACCTTGGCTGGGGGTCAGGTTCCAGCTGCTTCTTCCTTAGTCTCTTCCATCTCAAGTGTCTGCTCCCATACCTTCCTCCCTTGAGTGCTTTAGAAGGGGCATGGTCCATTGTAGCGCAACGTTAAATCCTGAAGGGGGCGCAAGTGGTGTTGATTAGAACAGTGGTTCTAAAATTGTAGTCCTTGTGGCAGCATCGCCAGGGAGCTTGTGAGAAATGCAAGTTTCTAGGCCCCACTCCAGACCTACTGAATCAGAAATTCTGCGGAGAGGCCCAGCCAGCTGATGCTCGCTTAAGTGTGAGAACCCGTGGTGCAGAGGTCACAAAGGGGACTTGAGGACCAGGGAGACAAGTACGTCCGAGCTTCTCAAGCTTTTGTCCCTTTGGCCCCCTCTTTCCTCCTCTGCACCATCAACGCCCCCCACCCCTCAGCACACACATGTGCTCCAAGGGCTCCCAGCTAAAAATTAAAGAAAAAAAAAACCTTGACTCCACAGCCCCCTCTATCTGTGTCTCCAGTTTCTCTGCTTCCCCAGACAACAGAACTTGAACAAGTTGTCTCCATTTTCACCTCCATTCCCACGCTCACCTTTTAATTTTTTTATTTTTAATAAATAAATAACTAAATTAATTTTGGGGCTGTGGCATGCGGGATCTTTGTTCCCCAACCAGGGATCGAACCCTTGACGCCTGCAGTGGAAGCATGGAGTCTTAACCACTGGACTGCCAGGAAGTCCCCACCTTTTAAAAAAATTAATAATATTATCATAGTGTAGTTCACGCACACACACAAAGCATAAAGAATAGTATAATAAAATCTGTGTATTTACCACGCTCAAGAAAAAAATACAATCCGTACTGTTGAATCCTGTGCACCCGCCGACTTATCCCCAGCCCCAGGGAGCCCCTTCACTCTTTAACGCACCTTGTTGTAACCCTCCTAGACAAGGGAGGGTCAGGGGACCCTTCTATGCCCTCAGCTTACTCTCCACCTCAGCAGCAGTCAACCCATATGGCCGCTCCCTTTTTCTGGTAGTGTTTCCCAGATGCACCCTCCCTGAGTTTTCCTTCTCCCCTCCTCCGTCCTTTGCCCTCCCCTCCTGTCACCCCCTCTCTGAGTCCTCCTTTTTCAGGCAACCTGTAATTAAAATTTGATACTTCCTTCAATTATGAGCATAGGCCCCAAATCATAGCACTGTTAGTTGATTGTACGACTTCATTACCAATAGAAACCACAAATATTTTCACATCACAGCACCGATGTTACAGTATCTTGAAATATGATATTGATCAACACTTCAGAATGACAGACATTCTCAAACCCACCACTGGATAATGTGACAACTATGGCACAGATTTAATTTTTAATGTTTTGATTATAATCGCAATATCACTGGGTGTTCTTATGCTTTTATTTTATGCATTTAAAAGTAATATTCTGGGGCTTCCCTGGTGGCGCAGTGGTTGAGAGTCCGCCTTCCAATGCAGGGGACGTGGGTTCGTGCCCCGGTCCGGGAAGATCCCACATGCCGCAGAGCGGCTGGGCCCGCGCGTCCAGAGCCTGTGCTCCACGGCGAGAGAGGCCCCAGCGGTGAGAGGCCCGCGTAATGCAAAAAAAAAAGTAATATTCTGAAAAAGGATCCATAAGCTCCACCCAGGACCAGATGGCAAAGTGCCCAAGGCCCCAGATGCATCAGGGTCCTGCCACTCCAGTGGGTCCTAGGATTTTCACATCCCCCTACGTGCTGACTGCGCGGTCTCCATCCCACACGGACTTCTCCCCTGAATGTCCCACCAGCTTGCCATCACCACCTGGGCTCCCAAAAGCATCTCAGGCAGAAGCATCCAACACATAACCCTTGATTCCCCAGCTCCCACAGCACCCCGTCCCTGCCTGCCCACCCCATTTTCCTCCCTCTTTCCCATCACAGTAAATGGCCTCACTCAGTACTTAAGCCCCAAACCCAGACTCCATCCTTGACTCTTTCTGTCACCCACTGCACTCAATCCACTAGCAAGTTCTGGTCACTATGATCCTAATGTGAGTTGCCAATCTGTTCACCTCCCCGCACCCTGGGCCAGGCTGCCAGCATACCCACAGGTCAGCCTCCCCGCCATGCCTCTATCAACACTCTGGGGATTCTAGCATGTGGCCCAGTGTGCATTCATGTGCACAAGGGTAAGCAGAGCTATACTGAGGCTGCTCTCAGACTATCCCACGTGTCACAAGCCTGGTTTAAAATATAGACTCCCAGGCCCTGAGCTTCTGCTCCACATAAACAGCAAGTTTATTCCTGCCATGAGACCTTCTCAAGCCTCTCCCCCAAGAGTCTCATTTGCAGATGGTCAAACTGAGACCCAGAAGACTTGCCAAAGGTCACCAGCTGGTGGGCTGTGTTCCAAGACTCCTCAGGTCTGCAGAGCAGGGTAGCTTGGGATCCTCAAGCTTGAGCGATGGGAGCTTCTTAAGCACTCTTATTAGTCCCCCATTTGTCCTGTGGCTGCCAATGGCTGGGTGGGGTGAAGGCCACCCACAGCTGGGGCCCATCGCCCAACTTGCCACGCATACTCATGGGCCCTAGGATGGGTAATCTGGGCAAGATGGGCACCTTTCAGCCAGCCCGCAGCTCTGGTGACTGATGTCAGCTTGTGTGGTGGGCGCTGGGCCCAGCCTGGGTTCAGGCACCAGCTGGAAGGGTGGAGGTAGGACCGCCATGGAGAAACAGGCCCTGGTGGGATCTGCCACGCCGCCGCCCCCCCACGCAGGACTGGACCTCCCCATTCTCTGCCACCCTCATGCTGGTAAACTCTCAGGGCTGAGATGGGGGGAATGGGGCTCTGAACTCCCACCACCCCTCTGGCCCGCAAAGAGGCCGATCTTTGGCCCTTGAGCTACTCCCTCTCCCCTTGGCCCTGGGTTTGACTTCTGGCTCTGCTACGCTCTAGCTGTGGACCTCTAGCAGGTGAGGGCTACCTTTCTCTGAGCCGCACTTTACCGACCTGTGACACGGGGACAGTAAACCCTGCTCCTTGTCAGAGACGGGGCATTTGAAAAGGGCCTTGAAGGAAAGGAAAGGAGTTTTGACAGGCAGGGGCTGGGGGAGGAAGGAGGCTACCTCGGACACACTAGGGATGAGCATGTAGGCGTGAGCAGCCTCAGTGGCCAAGGGGATCTGCTCAAGCCAGCTTTTCTCCTGCATTATCTAAATGAAAAAGACTTTAACTGGTAAGTGCATAAACAACTGTGCTCCACTCATCCAATGAACTCTACTCAGCAATAAAAAGGAATGAATTACTGATGCATGCGCAACAGTGCATGTGACAACACGGAGGCATCTCCAATTATGCTGCATGAAAAAGCCAGACTCATAAGGCTGCATACTGTAGGATTCTATTTATATGACTTTCTGGGAAAGTCAGAATTAGTTGTTGTCGGGGGCTAGGGCCCAGGGGTAGGGATTCACAGCAAAGGGGCACAGGGGAAATTTTTGGGGTGCTGGCAATATTCTGTATCATGTGATGGTGGTTACATGACTATATACATTTGTCAAAATTCATAGAACTGTACATTAAAAGAGTGAATTTCACTGTATCCACATATTGAGACTATATCTCCATATAAAACAAGCCTAGCAAAACAAGGTTCTATAAAATGTCCCATATAAAAATGTGTTATAATAATAAATGTGTTTCCTCAAGCTAATCCCTCACCCTCTGAGTTTCATTCATGTATTCACTCAGAAATTATTTCTTGAGCATCCCGTTTTGGGATGGGAATTAGGGTGTAGCAAGACAGGCTGAACCTCGGCCCCAGGGGAGGAAGGGCAGAGATTAGAG